AGGGTGGAAGATTAAAGCGATCTCCACAACTGATTGAAGGAAAGGACTATGTAATGGTTCCAGAACCAGTTTGGAGAGCACTTTACCATTGGTATGGAGCAAATCTGTCCTTGCCCAGGCCGGTAAGTTGTGGTTATAGACACTGCTTACTTGCCATAACCACCAAGATAATACAAGCAATCTAATGTGTCTGAGCTTCAGCCACTTGCACAAGATAATCTTTTGTGGTCACCTCCCACTTGATCCGAAATGGATAGTCTAAATGAAAAGTCTTGAAGAGCAAGCTGGGAAAAAACAGTCTCAGAAATGGACATGGATAGAAAGCTGTGGATATTTACTAGGAGGTTTGCAGCACAAACCCCAGGAGATACTGCAACAGAACAGAGTGCTGCTCAACTGATCGTGATTGCTAAAGCAGACAAAAATAAACTTGAGATCAGTTTAAAAGAGTTGGTATCAAACCACTCATCTTTAAAAACGAAGATAAATTTTAAACTGGTCTGCAAAACCAATAAAATTAAAACTGGGGCACCTCCAGCTTTGAAAACGCCTTTCTTCTCTCTCACAATTCCATGAAGGGGGGGAAAGTAACAATTGCAGTGTCATAGAAAACACAAGATGCAAGATTTAGCGAAGACGTAAAAAGCAGCAGGAGCAGGTATTCCTAAAAAGAATTTACGTATGAGCGTACCAGCTTTTGAGTACTGCACAGACTGGTGAAGTTCATCTTCTCGTGAAAGGTTTTTCAATAAAGCATTTATCATAAGCAATTCCTCAAGATGTAGAGGCTAAAACTGAGTTGACATCTACTATCTAAGGCTGAAACAGCATGATTCTAGTTAACCATGTTTCAGTGCTGAAAGCAAAGGCCAGTAATCTTACCTGCTACACTCATCCAGATGGGCTGCTCTTGTTTTAATTCTTCACTTCAGAGTTTTATTACAAGTGTTATGTGTCATGGCTGTGTGAATACCAATTGTTATTTTGAGCAGATCACATATTCAAAATAAATAGTTCTTTTTGTGTCATTCTTCTTCTAGTATTAGGATAATTGCCTTTATTTTTTCTAATGAGTAACAGATAATTCATATGTAGTGAATTTTTACACTTCATACATTTGACAGTAGGCAGAAAAGCCAATGAATTAGAATAAAACTGTGAAAGAGTTTTACAAACGATTAATGCGTTTCCATTGCTTAATAAAAAAATGTATTTGCAAATTGGTAATGCTGTGGGTTTATGTCAACAATTACTAGTTGCCTGTAGTCACTTAAATCCTTGCAAGGAACTTAACTAATTAGAGCCTGTCAAAGGTGAGGTGATATTTGTGCTTGTTAGCATGGAAGTTTTGTTAAAAGAAGAAAACCTTGAAGAACTGAAATTCACTTTCTCTAGCTAACACTAGTATTTTCTATATCAAGGCTGTAATATCTTTAATTAAAATTAATTGGGGCACAATGCAGAATGGATTGCATAATATAATTTTCAAATGTGAAAGTGCTATATTTTAAATGGAATTGACTAAGTGGACTAATAATTAGTCTGTGTTATCCCAATGAGATTTTTTTTTTGGTTGCAGTTAAAACAGCAACAGTATTTCTGAAAGAGAAGCAATAATTATATAGCAATAGTCATTGTTAAATCATATAATTTACTTACAATTTATTGAGCTCTTTGTTTCTCTGTGTAATATTGCAAAATGATTAACAGGTCATAACCATCAGGAGCTAAAGCTGGCAGGGCTTGAATTATTAATATGGAATTTATAAAAAAAGTAGGCCAAAGTTAGAGGCAGGAAAAATCAAAGTAGTTTGCTCTCTTCACTTAGAGGCGTTGGAAACTTTCTTTAATTTCTTCTGAGTGTGTTTATTCCATGTAGTGGTTGGTTTATTTTATGTCAGGTAGTCCCTTATAGGAGCTACACTTTAAAAAAGGAAATGAGGGTTTTTTTTCTTTTTTGATGTTAGCAACAGAGATTAGGTGGTTGGTGCCACCAATGTTCACTGTCACAAATGGGAGAGAATTAGCTGTGTGATTTTGACGATTTGCTCTGTTAGCCGTAGTACTGGCAGCTATTTTATAGTGAAAAATCACTGGCTTCTGTTATCCTTCTCCCACATGTTTTCCATGGAAACAAACACCTTTCATGATCCAGAAAAGGCCACATCTCTTTCTACACAGCACAAACTGATGTGCTTTACATTTTTACAATGAGGTCATTAGAAAAGAGACTTCTATTCAGAATGAGAGAATTTCAGCTTGGATATCCTGGCTGCAAAAAATATAAATAATGTATGTATAAACTTTAGCTTTTCAGTCCATAATTAAGGAATACCTTGACACTTAGTGATCTGAACACTTAAATTCTTGAAGACCATTTGATGACTTGTAACTATGTGTACAGGCACTTGGACTCCTAGTCTCCCACCCCGCAGTAGGAACTATTATGTTGTATGTTTCCAGAAAATGTCATCACTGTTGTTTTAGTTGTAACTGAATTTAATACCACGGCACTTCTGTGTGTTATGTTGCTTCTCACAACTTAAGTTGAGTTTTCTTCTGCTTCACATGGTCACCAAAATAGTGAATGTTCCTGCCATTGATGTATGTCTATGTTTTGGCAGCTCTAGATAGCAAAATCTTTGTAGAAATGGTGACAGAAAAGCTCCAAGTCAGGTTGTGGGGTAATGTCAACTTTTTCTGTCCACGTATCAAATTGCAACAAAAGTAAGTTTCAGTCTGTTCCTAAAATGTGAAGGTTTTAATTAAATTCTGTAGTTCAGAAAGTTCAGAACAAATGTCTTATTCAGCATGTGTGAGTTTTTTCCAACAGTTGTGAAACTTTAGTTCTACTCAGTGTGTACCTCAATATAAATGAGGTTCATTGTACATTCACATATATTTCAGGAATTATAAAAATATCCTTTCCATGGTGTTGTATGGGTGGCTATGCTCCACTAAATAAGGAGTTTCTTTTTGACAATCACCAACTAATAAGCTTCAAAAAGTGCTTAGAAATCAGTAAACTGTTATTCCTGTGGATATTTGCCTGAGGCCCCATAAGAAGTTCAAAGGATTTCTCGTCTCCTAGTCAAGCATAGTTTATTTTTGGTTTTAACCATCTGCTTTAATCGTTATTTCCTGTTTGTATTGAGATTTCCTACACGTTTGGAACAGCGTCTCTAAAGTGTCTTTTAAAAATCTTTACTAGGTGATCAAAAACAGCAAAACAAACGTGCCTGAACTAGAGCTGTTTCCTCGCTACCTGCTCTTCCTGAGACAGCAGCCTGCCACTCGAACGCAGCAGTCAAACATCTGGGTGAATATGGGTATGATGAGCCTGAGAATGTTTCCTCAGCATTTACCTAGAGGTAACTTAAGAATGCAGCAAGAATCCAAGCGCGCAGTTTCTCGGAAAGCGAGACCCACAGCTGTAGAAGCTTGCTGCCACTGTGCTTGTACACCAGCTAATCAACCGTGAGGCACAATCAGCTTTTGGTAAAGATTTAAAGGCTTTCCTCCTGTCTTCTCTTGAAAGGAAGAGGCATGAGGGAGCATTTGCAGTGAAGTCAGTTAGTTACTGCCAAGAGATTGGTGAGTTGAAAGTGAGAAATGAGCACTGCCTAAGCTACACAGCCGAGAAGGGCACACCTCATTAATCCTGTCGGTACCTGATTTTGTAGCCATAGAATAGGTGCATCTGTGCCTTGGGGTGGGTGGGTGTATCTGATAGTACAGTGGTGTGAAAAATGAAATCATTGTTCAGCCAGCTGGTTCTGAGTTACTTGGGCAGGTAGGCTTTAATGCCCCAAATTATTTAACGCCCTTTAGAAAGGGATTGGATTAATGGGATATGAAGACTATTATTTGGTGCAGTTTGGTAAGACCATTCAGTGGGTAGTAAGCATCCAATTAAAATATATATGCCATAGCTGTTGGTGAGCATTACCACCAAGGATTGTACAAGTAATGGGCTAAAAGAATAATCTGTAGATTACAGCTTCACATTTCAGCTGAAAAATGTTCCAGGGTTTGGCTTCAGTTGCCCATTTGTCTGCACAGTTGCACACTTGCCTTGCACAAGACGTTTGAAGAAATACCTGGTGTTGCCATGCGTGTGTGTTTGGGAACACACAGCTACACATACGCATCCACAGTAACGTATGTCCAGAAATGGGCTCACCTGACTCCTGAAAATTCAATCCTTCAGCCTTCCTAGTGTTAGCCTGTCTTTAAAAATCTCATGCAGATGCTCGATTTTTCACTGCTTTGGTAGAATCTCAAACGTAACGTGGAGATAGTGGTTGCCTGCTTGATCAATTCCGCTACAGAAACTGCCTGCTACCCAAATTCATTTTCCTACTAGGCCTAATAAAATCAAAACTGCTTTGTTTGGACGTCCTAAAATGCCCAAATTCAAATAAAGAGAATCTTGTAATGTGCCAAATTTGATCTTGATTTGAAATTATTTTGCTCTGCACTAATTTATTTGTCCAATCAGTTATTAATCTTTTTGAGTTTTCAAATATGCTTTCTTGCTGTAATCTTACAACTAATCCTTTGATCCCTAATCTCAGAAAATGCTTTTTTGTGTTCTTTAAAAAAAAAAAATCAATATTTTGCTTGGTATACTGAAACAAAACTGATGCTTTGCTGACTTATAAGATGATTACAGTATAGTTTTACTCGCTTGTCGAATTGCATGTAATATTGCATCTTTTCTTATGATACTGTTTATTTTATTTTAATCTTTCGACAGTGAAAGTAGAACAGTGTCACTTCTCTGTTTACTTAAGTAAATGCAGTTGTCCAGTTGGGTTTGCCTTATACAGCCAAAGCTGCTGTTCTACATAAAAGCTTTTCATGAATATGTTACAGACCTGTCCCTGTGAGCAGTGGGAGCTTCCTGAGTTTAACCTAAAGAAGCTCAAGGAATAGAGTTGGTCTCATCTCTTTCAAACTGAGCTTGTGCAAATGTTTTATCTAAACATGAGCTAATATTACAGAAAACAGCAATAATCTGCACTGGTGAAATTGGTTTGTGTTGCAAACATGAGATTGTTGAGAAATTCTGGTGAAGATCCTGGGCATCTTCACAGAATGTGTTTTGAGGGATTTCATTATTAAGAATAGTTGGGTTGTGAAACTGGAAACTGCCAGGCTGATTTCTTCCTTACGGAGCAGCGTTCATCTCTGTAGAAGAGCTGGAGCAAAGTTATGCTACTTCCGAGAACAGTCAGACTGATATTTTTTTTTTTTTTTACCTTATTTTTTACTTACAATCTGCCTTCAAAAATAAAATTCTCATGAAATTATGAAGTGCTTTATTTTGAAAATTACTATTGTCTCCAATACTATGTCTTAAAGAGAAAAAAAGAATAGTTCACTCTTTTCAAAGTACTTTTAAATCATTTATTTCCAATAAAATTCTCAACGGGGCAATTTTCTAATAGGTTTTGTTAAGAATGGGGGTGAATTTATCTGTTTTTTGATAGGAAGTTTGTCCCAAAGGGTCAGTAACAACTTGCTTTCAATCTAACTCATTATTTTATCCATAAACTAAAGGAGCAGAACTCTGTACGTCTTTTTCACAAGAAGAAATTATAGTATATGTGGTGTGTACGTTGTTATTGATCTGATTTCAGTTGACCTATGGGTATATACATATCTTTTACCCATTTCTTGTGATTGTGAATCCAGGGAATGTTCCTTCACCGAATGCTCCCTTAAAAAGAGTGTTGGCTTACACTGGCTGCTTCAGTCGCATGCAAACCATTAAAGAGATCCATGAATATCTCTCCCAGAGGCTACGTATAAAAGAAGAAGATATGCGGCTCTGGTTATACAACAGTGAGGTAATGTCAGTCTTTTTTCTTTTTCTTTTTTTTTTTTTTTAATCAACTATTGGATATTGTATATCTTACTCCTTTCTAGAAAATATTAAATACGCATGCGTAGGAAAAACAACAACAGTAGACGTAAGTTTCCATTGCAATTCGACTGCCCAGGTTGGAAAACTCTTGCCACTTATTTTCTACAGTTTTTGTACCCTCCCAGCAGTGAAATTTAGATTTTGGTGTTAACGACCCAGGAAACTTATCTTCTGTTTTCCTAGGAGCCTGATAAACATTAAATTATCCTGTGATGTATTTAAACATCGGCACTTGATTGACCTATTATAAGGCTTGGTATGAAGTTTCACAGAAAATGTTTTAAATGGAAATAAAAATATATTTTTTTTGTTGACACACATGATGCTGTTGGCATCTCTTGGCACAGAAGCCAACAGTCATCCAGGACTTTTTCAAATGTGTGTGTGAACAAATCACAATGAACAAGTCAAATGTATTTCTTACATGCATTAATTGCATGTAATTCTCTCTTTCTAAAGAAATACTACATAAAATTAAAGCATTGAACTAAATGCTTCTGGAGTTCAGTGAGCTACTGTATTTAATTAACAAAGATAGGAAACTGGTGCTCTCATTTTTGTGAAGAAATTGTTAATACTGTTTTAATTTCATTGCTTTGAGATTAAAATATCCTCAGATATCTAAAAGTAATAACTATTTGAAGTTTTTTGGGTTTTGTCTTTTTTTTTTCCTGCAGAACTATCTTACTTTGCTGGATGATGAAGATCACAGACTGGAGTATCTTAAAATCCAAGATGAGCAGCATTTAGTAATAGAAGGTATAAAAAGGGCCTATAATTGGTTTAAACACTAAACCCAAATAGCTTTTTATGAGTGTATGTGTATGGTTAATAAATCGTGTGTAGTGCTCATCTCTGTAATTCCTCTGACTACACCAATATGTAGACCTACGGCCCAAATATTCTGTTTTTGGAAATGTTTTGAGAAGGAGGAGTATGTGTAAATAAATTTCTGTCTCTATATATGTACATATTGAAAGAAATACAGGAAGAAATACCACAGATACAAATAATCTGCTGCTGCTACAGTAAAAACTAAAATACCAGAGATTTAACAAAAGCTGTGTGAGGCATCTGAGACTTTTTCATTATCTGATTTTTCTTTCACTAATTTTACAAGAGTTCAGGTTATGATATTTGTGTGAACACTTTCTTACTCACAAAGCCCAGGTGAAGAAAACTGCATATTTCCATCTGTGTCAGGTTTATGTCTAAGAGTTTCATTACAAGCTGCTTTTGTTTTCACGTCTGGAGAGAACCTGATGAATTCGGACTTGATTGACTTGTGGTGGTGAAAAGGTGACATAAGCATTCTCAGCCTTTCTTGTTTCAATTTATGTCCATTGTTTCTCATCCTCCTGCCATGCACTGCTCCGCTGGGCAGTGCAGTCAGTCACAAATACATTAAGTCTTTGTCAAAGGTACCTGGGTGCATGGATCAGCTTGAATGTTCAGCTAGTTTGACCTGACTTTCTGTTTAATGTTTTAATGTGAGAAGCAGAAGCGTATATGCTTAATCCACTCTGCTGTTGTCATTACATTACAGAGGATATATAGAAGTCTGGGTCTTGGCATTGTTTCTGTACAAGTTTCACTTAGAATCATAGAATCATAGAATGGTTTGGATTGGAAGGGACCTCAAAGATCATCTAGTTCCAACCCCCCTGCCATGGGCAGGGACACCCTCCACTACACCAGGTTGCCCAAAGCCCCATCCAACCTGGCCTTGAACACTTCCAGGGATGGGGCAGCCACAGCTTCTCTGGGCAACCTGCTCCAGTGCCTCACCACCCTCTGAGTGAAAAATTTCTTCCTTATATCCAATCTAAATCTGCCCTCTTTCAGTTTAAAGCCATTGCCCCTTATCCTATCACTACACGTCCTTGTAAAAAGTCCCTCTCCAGCTTTCCTGTAGCTTTGTATTACACCTTACTTAGCATAGCTTTATGTTACACCTCAGGTAGTATGTTCTATGTGTGCTAGATCTACTCATCCTGTTTGCCACTTCACTCAGCTCATACTTAATCAATTTAAAATTGACAGGAGTGGCTGATGCGGTTCACTGTGCATCTGCATTAATCGTTAGACACGAGAGTAGAAATGATAATTTATATGTAGAGAGAGGAGAAGTACTGCACCTTGCTGTATCAGGTGAAACAGAACCCCGAGGCTGCAGTGCCATAAATGAACCAGCATTAAGTCCACACTGCCACTGGAAGAAGCAGTCCACCCTTCCCCTGTGTGTGATGCCACCTGCCTTTCCCATGGACAGCTGCTTGACACCTATCTGATGAATTGGCTGTGAGAAGTGATCTAGTGAAAAATAACTCCCTCTTTTCAGCTAGCTCAGTTCCTTAAGCCAGTTTGCTGTATGGCTGGTGTCAATGCAAGACAGATGTTTGAAGCTTCTATTTTTTTTATCCCACTTTTATCTTGAAACACATGTAATTTGTCCCTATTTTGAAATAACACTTGAATCTTGTGTTGGTTCGTAACAACAAATGTTAGTGGTCGCTCACAGAGTGAACAGATCTGTTCAAATCTGGGGGATCCTTAGTAAGTATTAGAATAAGTACTGCAAAATTTGTTAACCAACAGGAAAGAAGTCTCAAAGCTGCTTTCTGAAGATGTTACTGGCACGGTTGGAATGATGCCAGTGTTAGAATGATTTCCAATAATGATTGGATATATAGAAATGAAAACTAGCAAAAATAATAACTAAAAATAAGCAAATTTCTAATCTCAGTTAAATATTAGAAAATTTTAATTAATCTTCTTCAGCTGTATGACCTCTCTGGAGTAAGTAACAAAAAATTTTAAAAAATCTTTATACCATATCTCTTTCTAGTTCGAAACAAAGACATGAGCTGGCCAGAAGAGATGTCTTTCATAGCAAACAGCAGCAAAATTGACAGACATAAAGGTAAGCATTCCAGCATAGGAACTGAATTACGATGAGAAGAAAAATTCAAGAGACTATATCAAGTTGAAACAATTCTTTTTAATATAAATGCTCTTAACATTGGAAGAGGTCTTTTATGCCTGTGCTGCTTTGCTTGTTCTTTCTGTTTTTTGAATGTGGATGCTGGAAATGTGGGAGGGTTGGGTGTATAGCTAGATAAATTTGTAGGTGTTCAGATGCAGAAGTAGCAAATGGTATGTAGCAAATTCTGGATTTTGTGTTTATTATCCTGGATTTTTTTTTTTTAAGGTAAGAAATAATTAAGATTTTAACAAATGAATCCAGAAATTTCAGTACCGTAATTATTTATCTGAAAATAGTTTGTATTGTATGGTTTGGGTTGTCCTCATGTCTGTGGTGGATCAGATGCAACAAAATACCTCAATTTCAGTTACCTGCTCTCCCAACTCCACTTAAGTTATTTCGAACAGGCGCTGTTGCATCAATGCTAGCTGTAGTCTTGTAAACTTAAGTGGAGTTGAGAGAGCAGGTATTTCGAACGGGCACTGTTGCATCAATGCTAGCTGTAGTCTTGTAATTGAGAGCAGGTTAAATTGAATTCTTTGCTCTGAAGAGGTCATATTCTTCACTTTACTGATACACCATTCTGAATTTTTCACATCTGCACAATTGATACCATCGGTTTTGTTTCCTCAGTTCCTACTGAAAAGGGTGCTACTGGATTAAGCAATCTGGGTAACACGTGTTTCATGAACTCCAGTATCCAGTGTGTCAGCAATACACAACCTCTAACACGGTATTTCATCTCAGGAAGACATCTTTATGAACTTAACAGGTAATTTTCTCACCATCGGAATTTTAGATGGTGTATCACTTCTTTAAAATGAGTTTCAGCTTTCAGAAGTAGAGAGTAGGAATAAATCCTTTTAAGTTCAGAGTTATCAACCATCAGCTATGTAGCAAATACTAGATGAGGTAACATGAGAGTATAACCTCTTTGTGCCTGAGGGAGTTAAAACAGTTCAGCAAGAAGCCTTTGCATTTCCTTGTTTATCCCCATGCTTGAACTTTGTTTACATTTTAGAATGGTGTTAATCACTTTATGGTTTCTAGGACAAATCCAATAGGAATGAAAGGGCACATGGCCAAGTGCTATGGGGATTTGGTGCAGGAGTTGTGGAGTGGAACTCAGAAGAACATAGCACCGTTAAAGCTGCGGGTAAGTCTGTCATGTGTGTTGTTTGAAGATGGAAAGCAAGGATTTCTTTGAATAGCAGAAATCCTCTAACGTGCTTTTTCCTGATGTTCCCTGTATTATAATGGTTCTGGGACTCAAATCAGTATCTCCATTAGAGAAAGGAAAGGAAACTTGGACATGGATTTCAAGTGTTAGAAGTTGACTGTGACGCCAGTGACTGTATCCTGGGCAGTCAGTCATCACGTATGTTGCTCCAAACTGGTCACACTTTGCTTTCTTGCCTGCAGGGAATGCAGGGGAGGTGTTCAGGAAGGGGCTATGCAGAGGTGAGATGCACATCTGGAGGAGGCCAGAATTCATCGGTCCTGCTGCTCAGGACTTGAACAGCTGTCTGTGGAATATAACCATGGTTCAGTGGTTGTAGGGTCAAAGGAGTTACCTGATATGAATCAGAGGATATGGTATAAGATGCAGCTTTTATAGCCCTTGTTAGGGATAAAAGATTTTGTGTTTGCCTGCAAATGGTCTTTCGTTCCGAAAGAACAGGGAGCTACCTCCAACTTTAGCAATGGAATTTGTAATCGTCGACAGCATGCATCTTGTCTACAATATTTAGATTTATTGTAACAACTTTTGTTACATGATGTTATATTTAACCTTCTGGCTTTTTTTATAGTGGACGATAGCAAAATATGCTCCAAGATTTAATGGCTTTCAACAGCAAGACTCACAGGAGCTTCTGGCTTTTCTTTTGGATGGTCTTCATGAGGATTTGAACAGAGTTCATGATAAGCCATATGTTGAACTGAAAGACAGTGATGGGCGACCAGACTGGGAAGTAGCAGCAGAGGTATGGGTTAAATTTTTGGGGTTTGGGGCTTGTTTGTTTGCAGGTTTGGGGTTTTTTTTGTCCTTACAGTACTAAGCTGCTCAGTAGTTGATGAGGCTGTTGTGGCAGTACTCTTTCAGGACTGTACCGTCTTTTGGAACTTGTTAGATCACATTTAAGGAGCCATTTCACCTTTGAAATGAAAATGAGTTTTAAGTATTATAAAAAGGGATAAAGATGATACTTCACAATCATTTTGAAAAACTCAGAGTTGTGGAGTATCAAAATTTTTCAAGATACCTGATGGATCCCTTCAGAAGTACTTTAAATTAGGTCATACCTTGATTATTGTGTTAATTGAAATAACTTCTCTTTATTCATGTTGAAGCTAAATGCTTCCTATTTATTAGAAATTGGTAAACAACTTCTACGGAAATAATTTGACTTCCATAGGCCAATGAAACTTCGGAGGTCTTGCAGCATATCCTTCTTCCTGTAGTTTCAGCAAGTAGTCTTCAGTTTCTGACTTTGTATTGGTTTTTTGTACTTTGTTTTAGGCCTGGGAAAACCATCTGAGAAGAAACAGATCCATTGTCGTAGATTTATTTCATGGGCAGCTGAAGTCACAAGTAAAATGTAAAACTTGTGGGCATATAAGTGTTAGATTCGACCCTTTTAATTTTTTATCCTTGCCTTTGCCAATGGACAGCTACATGCACCTAGAAATTACAGGTGAGTAGTAGTATTTAGCTCCCTATAAACTCGTCAGTGCAAAAATAAAAATTGTATACATAGGCAGATTTTCAACATCTATAAAACATCCAGATTTTGTGTTGGCACTTATGCTTAAAAATAGTATAACCATTTTAATATAATAGAGTAGAAGAATTTTCATTGGAATACAGTTAAACTAAAATAAAACCTTAAAAAACAGAGCATAGATGGTCCATTTTCAGTCTTGACTAAAGGACTTAATACAGAAACATGTAGAGATTCTGAGAACTTTTCTTCTGTTCACTGTCTTGTGGAGGTTGTCCTATATCTGCCTAGAGTGATAAAAAAGGGCTGAGGGGGAGTGTACAAACAAAAAAATACTCTGTGCCATGAACTATGCTATGAAGAACCCATGTATTGTTGGAAAAGAGAAAAAAGGAAATATGATAAAGAAGTGAAACAAATTTTTAAACTATTTTCTACTGCTTAATTTTCTGACATTTGAAGACCTTGAAAATCGATTGGTTAAAAGAAAATAATTAAATCTTTAAATGGGGAAAAAATACTTTCTAATAAGTAAGTAGCTGTAATGTATTATTCTTGTTAAAATTTACCTGGTTTGCTGACCAGTGTGTTTCTTTTCCCCTTTAAAGTAATTAAATTAGATGGTACTACTCCAGTTCGATATGGCCTGAGATTGAACATGGATGAAAAGTATACGGGTTTAAAAAAACAGTTAAGTGAACTCTGTGGGCTAAAACCAGAACAGATTCTACTTGCAGAAGTGCATAGCTCCAATATAAAGGTAAGAAGAAAAAAAATCTAATCATCACTGCAACATGCTTTAGGTATTTTTGTTTGTTATTTGTGTACAGCAGCATGCTGCTTCATTCTTTTGACATTAAGCCATGGTTAAGAGAACTGTGAAATAATTTAACTGAAATGTGTGATAAAAAAGTCAGCTGCATGAACTTTTATTCCGTTCTTAAACCATAATTTGGCTTGCTTTAAATGGATTTAAAATCAAAGTAAACTGAACCAAAATAAACCACTTGTAAACAAAATTAATAATGATGTAGAAGGTTGCAGAAGTGTAATTAAATTGATTACTAATGATATTTTTAGGGAAAAAAAGGATAAAATCATCTTGAGATAATAAATCTCAAGTTAGAGTGCTCTGATGAGTTTAAACACTATCAAGACATTGGAGGCATACGGAATGACTGGCTTTAGTGTGTAGGTGTGTGCATATATATATATCAGGTTTTTTCTTTAATTGAATAGGATTGAAACTGCTTGAAACTAGGGGTTCTTGGTCTATTTAGAGAGCCATTAGTAACTTCCTCAGGTCTTGCCGCAGAGATCTGAAAAGGGGTGTTCTTGTTGGCTCCCTTTTTACCTTTTAGAAAGCAGACGGGAGGGGAAGGATGAGCTGATACACTGTTTTCTAGAGAACAAAACGTGTTCTGAGTCACAGACAGAAGTATATACATGTCTGACTAACTTTCCCTTTTTTTACTGAAGAACTTTCCTCAAGACAACCAGAAAGTCCGGTTATCAGTGAGTGGGTTTCTGTGTGCATTTGAAATACCAATTCCAGGATCCCCTACATCAGCATCAAGTCCTGTGCAGACAGGTAAAATAAAATATATTTATTGTCCTGTTAATTTAAAATGCATGGTGCTTAGGTGCTGGAGAAATTCAGGAGAAAACCTTCCTTCTCCGTGATAAGTAAACAGTGAGGATTAAAGAAAAGTCAAACGTTTAAGTTAGAGTTGTGATCCACAAAGAACCTGTGAGCAGCCTCAGTGTCTACTGATGGTCTATGATCCTTTTTAGGGTCTTGTCCAGGGTAGCAGTCTGAAGATTGCTATATACTTATTTTAATTAAAGAGACAAGAAACAAGCAAAATGTTTTATTACTTGTGGATTGTCTCTAAGGCAGGACATGCAAAAAAATTGGAAGCGTGGTGTTTGGTTTTGGTTTTTTTGTTTGTGGTTTCATGTATGGTTTGTAAACACCTCTGTTATTCTTCACTCTCAGATGCTCTGATTTTGCAGAGTTGTAGACAAATAAAAGGTTAGATGTTGATCTCAAGGAGAGTAGGAGATAGTTCATGAAATGCATTGAACAGAATGGAAAGGATAAAAATGTTGTCATCTCTTCTGGTTACTGTAGATAATTGAGATGGTAATTGTCTATCTACAGATGTCTCAACTGGGCCACCAGCGAATGGAGCACCCAACATAATGATGAACGGGGACCTTCCTAAACCAACCCTAATTCCAAACGGAATGCCAAATACTGTAGTGCCATGTGGAACAGAGCGTACTGTTGCCAACTGGACTCTCAACGGTCACGTACCCTTACTGCCTGATAGTCCGTGTACAGGGTATATAATTGCAGTCCACAGAAAAATGGTTAGTAGGTTTTGCATTTATTGCACATCGTTTGCGTAACGTGCTTTGAGAGGAAGTCAGCCAGGATTTTTTTAATGTCCATATGATAAATTAATCTTTATTTCTGAAGAAGATGGAGCATGAATACCTTTCCCCTTAAGTGAGCGCCAAGTTCTACAGAAACACAAGTCTTGTAAATCGAACTAATGTCAGTATATTTTTCTCTCCTTAGTGCTGGCAAGCTTCCCAGTTCTTTAATGCTGAAATGCATACTTGGGTGTTCGCGAACTCCCTGATTAAATGTTCCAGATTCTTTGAGCAGAAAAAAAAAAAAATAATTAGAGGAGCTACTAGAAATGTATTTCTTTCCTGTTATATGGAAAAGCCTTGTTTCTCATACAGAAACAGAGTGAAGATACATGCTACGTCTCTGGGTTGTTCTGTTAGCATGAATGACTCTGGAAAAGCTGTTAAGTTAACTCTAAACCATACTACATCCCTGGGTCGCTCTGTTAGCATGAACGACTCTGGAAAAGCTGTTAAGTTAACTCTAAATGTCAAAGCTGGGTGACTGAATGCCTCAAACAGCCACATGTTCTGTGTCCAGGCTTCAGGGTCTGTTGATGTTTAGAGCCTGGTGGGCCAGGAGGCCATTTAATTTCCCCCTTTACTGTGTGTTTTTATGAGGCTGTTTTGCTTTATTCTCTCAAGCAGTGAGCACTAACCACTGTCATCACTGTTATCTTGATTCAGATTTTGTGAAATCTCTCAGGTGATTGATACAATGCTTTTGAACCATTACAATCTGCTAGCTGCACAGCTTAAAAACCAGTAAAAGTCATTTGTGGAAGCTATTCCAGGAATCCCCACTTGTCATTGTCAAAAATCTTATCGATGGAAAGGGTTAATTGTGTAAAACATATGCAAGGCAGTGGCAGTTTGCTGGACCTCACTGCCATGAAGTCGATGTGTTAAATGGCAGATGTAGCATGAAGGTTAGTTTGTCTGTTTGGAGTAAGTTGCATACAGGTCTGTGGTGCCTCCTTTAGACATAAAGGTTTTCTTGCCCTAGCAAACATAATCTTACCTAGTGTAGAGGTGGTTTTGGGACAGGTATGAGCATCATTGGGCACGTGTCTGCATTACAATATGACCATGTGGTGGGAAAAGTAAGAAATATGAACGATATGAAATATAAAATATTGTACAGGTTTATGTTGATGTGATTTAGTGCCTAAATAACACTGCCATGATATCATAAAATACAAAAAAAGTAGTTTCAAGTCAATGATCAAAATTTACAGTATTTAATATTGGAAAAAAGTGCTGAAATGGATTACTTTTCATAGACTTAATGGCTTGTTTTAATTGCCAAAGCTTGACATAAGTAACCAGGTCAGCATCCCAGCAATTATGGTGATGGGAGTTAATGCATACTCATCTCTGAGTCATTCCTGTATTTCACATACGCAGATGCGGACAGAATTATATTTTCTTTCATCTCAGAAGAATCGTCCCAGTCTCTTTGGAATGCCACTCATTGTTCCTTGTACAGTTCACACCCGGAAAAAAGACCTGTACGATGCAGTGTGGATTCAGGTCTCCAGGCTTGCGAGCCCTCTCCCGCCTCAGGAAGCCAGCAATCATGCACAAGACTGGTGAGTTTGGCATCTCAGTCTTTGGCTTGAATTACGTAATGCAGTGGGTGAGACTTGCTTACAAGATTTAAAGCTGAAGAATTAATATATTTTTATCAGTTTTGACTTCTCACAATATCTCCACCGAATGCACATATGCCTTTTAACGTATAGTTAAGCTTTGAATGTCAGCAACTTTAGGAACAATCGTGTGCACTTCTATCTCAAATGCTTTCTGCCTGCAGATTCCATCTAGTGGGTTATTTTTGTAAGAAGTCATTTGAGAGTCCTGCAATTTAATAATGACAATAATTAAAAATAACTTTCAGTCCTTTTTAATACAGTTAAATGTAGTATACCTTCTAGCTGCACTTAAGGGTTGGCTTTACAGGAATGAGTCGTTTGTTCTCATCCAGTGATCGATGATTCATCATATCTGACAATTTTAGGCAATGTAAAGGCAGGTCTTGTTTTGATAGCTTGATCTTATCAAAAGTATCTTCTTTTTTTTTGTGGGTTTTTTAAAGTGAACATAAATAGCTAGTGAAGGAAAGTAATCAGCAGTTTGAATGAGCACTCGTGTTTCATGTCACGTTCTCTTCTGTTTCAGTGATGATAGCATGGGATATCAATATCCATTCACCCTAAGGGTAGTTCAGAAGGATGGAAATTCTTGTGCTTGGTGTCCTTGGTACAGGTAAATCGTCATTTTTAGGTTTAAGGTAGCAAATCACTTCAGCAGAAATGTAATTTATGGTAATCCATTTTTGATACATTTCAGACAGAGGTAAAATCAAACAATAAGAATCTAGAATCTAATTTAAGCAAAACCCTCACATGACAGGCTTTCACTGTAGAATGGCTTTTATGACTATTGGAGAGCTGAAAGCTCTGCTGACACAGAAACTTTAAATCAGGAGACAGACATGAGGTTATCAAAAACCTCTTAACCCCTTACAGTATTCTGTGTGCATATATGCAGGCACATAAGTGTACATATTTGGATGATTTCTGGGAGTTTCATACAAAACCTAACTTTTTGATGTAAATCATCTACCCTCGCTAGTTCCTCTGCCATTAGAAGAGTAAGAACTAAAATGGACAATAAGAAATTCACCCTGAAAGCACACTTGGAATTTTCCCTAAACAAAGACATGCTGATGAAAACTTTAGACTTTTGCTGGAAGGTATTCAGACCACATAATATTTAAAAAATTAAAAAAAAAGTCTCTTACAGCTAGATAAATAAGGTACATCAGCTATCATGTTGTAAAATATTTATGGAGACAGAGCATTTTTGGGGTTTTGTGTCATAGGTATGCAGGTAGATGGTTGAGCTCACCCAGCTGCTTCAATTTCTCATCTCTGTTGAAGTTTCGCAGTAAAATAGCAAACTGAACTGATTATTATTTTATAAAAATGACTGTCTTACACTGAAAGCAAGGCATGAAACGTTGGGGATGCATATGTTACAAAATAAGGAGCAGAATTGGAGTGTGACGTAATGTAAAACTTAGTTATCGGACGGTTGACTTACCACATGTAACTTTGACTTAGATTTTGCCGTGGCTGTAAAATTGAGTGCACAGAAGATAGAGCATGTGTTGGGAATGCTTACATCGCTGTGGACTGGGATCCAACGGCACTCCATCTGCGCTACCAGACGTCCCAAGAACGGGTAACATTCCAAACCATCCCTTTGTTCCTTCCAATTTCGCTACTCGTTCATAGCGCTGAAGTGTACAACCCGTTTCTCTTTTTGTTTGTTTTTTTTTTTTTTTTTTTTTTTTTCCTCACAATTGATGCTTCTTTTGTCCACTTAATGGTAAAATAAAGTCAGTAATCATTGAACAGTATATTCTGGATAAATTAATGTCTTCATGTTAAACCTCTTCTGTGACCATAATGAAGGGAAGCTTTTAAGAAACTACAGCAGTGTGGTTTTTTGTCTGCTGTGAGGTTTTTTTGATCTAGCCTCCAGAATATATTACAAATTACGTTAATTTGATACATTTTCTAAGTACACCAGTGCTGTAAAGTTATGCATGTAAGTAAATCTATTTCCTCATTGAGTCAACAAAACATACCTAAAGGTAAGCCTATAGCTGAGTTAATATAGGATAGTTGATCAAACTTGTGAGTTGGATCTATAAACTTGTGCTTTATGGATAATTTTTTTAAGCAGAACCCACGTGTGTTATTTGTGTGTCTGCCTCTTCATAATTGAAATACAATTTCTGCTAAAACTTAGTGCACTTAGTTTCTGGCTTTAATCTTAAATAACCGTATGATGTTATTTTTGTGATGCTGTGAATACAGTTTTCCTCTGAGCAGTTTGTACGTGTTTCCAAGTCAGATACAGTTTTATCTCACTTTAGATTGTAGAAGAACATGAAAGTGTTGAACAAAGCCGACGAGCTCAAGCAGAGCCCATCAATCTGGATAGTTGTCTTAGAGCCTTCACCAGTGAAGAAGAACTGGGGGAGGATGAGATGTACTACTGTTCCAAATGCAAGACCCATTGTTTGGCCACCAAAAAACTGGATCTTTGGAGACTTCCCCCTATTTTGGTATGATCTTGTGTAATTTTCCTCTACAGCAACAAAACCAAAGTACATTGATTACAAATTTGAATCACTAGGTACATCTCCTTGTTCTGAATGAGAAGATTTGCTTTTGTTCACAGTCTCAGGAGGGGCATTGACTTTGTTTCATGCCTTTCTGTAACACAGGCAAAGGAAACAAACCTCAAATCCTTTTTTGAATCTTTTTGGCTGATATATTGCAGGAAGCGGTGGCGTTTGAATTCGGTTTCATCTGTTCTGACATAGAATTCATGTTTAGGTGTTTTTTCCACTAACATGGTCTTTTGTCCTGTGTAACACCTGCATTTGTTGCTTTTCAAATTTGGGAGATTATTCGAAACATACGGTGCTGATGACTGAATTGAAGCAACCTTTTCCATCATTTCGCCATGAAAACATTAGTTCCATGTTTTACTAGCTTGATCCCTAAATCCAAATTGCCACGTTACAGCATTGTTACTGGTTTTTGTTAGCGTATGACAAAATATGTGTGTTTCGGCAAAAATTATTTTTAAACAGTGAAGTTACTCACTGTGATGTAGTTGTCCTCCTTTAATTTTCTCCAACATGTTTCTCCTTAGATCATTCACCTGAAAAGATTTCAGTTTGTAAATGGCCGCTGGATAAAATCGCAGAAAATTGTTAAATTTCCCAGAGAAAATTTTGACCCAAGTGCCTTTTTGGTACAAAGGGATCCAAGTCATTTTCAGAGAAAGCAGCTAACGCCCCAGGTGGACAGCCTTCCTGAACCACGGACTCTCCAAGGGGAGTCTAGAAAAATAGATCTGCAGATCACCTGCACGCCCGGAGAAGGAGATGCACTGAACAGAAGTCCATCCTCCCTTAACACTACTGTCTTGAATAATATCAAAGGTGGGTAATAATCAGGGAAAATTCCAATCAATACTGATATTTGGAAGGGAAAGAAAAGAGTGACATTAGGAAAAAAAATTTAATGTTTCTTTGGCCAAAGCACTGCATTTATTTTGAAACACTCATTTCTGTTGTTGTTTGTCCTGGAAAGTTTAGTGAAGTTTTACCATAAAAAAAAAAGAGGGAGGAAAAAAAGCTATTCAGTGACAACAGATATTGGCACTGTCTGCTTGTGTACATGGGATGGAGTAAGAGTGAGGAATGTCCTTTTGCATAAGAGAGTGAAATTTCAGTTTGTAGATGTATGTATGTGTGTGCACAAAGGTGGTTTTTATATATTACTCATTAGTTGCAGTGAAACGGTGTTTTTTAATATTTGGTTATTCAAAAAAAAACACTTTAAAAAAAACAGCCCTAGACTATGTGTTTACTTATCTTAGTAGTCCACGTGTTTTCTGTTTTAGCATCTCCGTCTTTGGGGAGGAAAAGTGGAACCAGCTGTCCTTCAAGTAAAACCAGTAGCCCCAATAGTAGCCCAAGGACTTTAGGAAGAGGTAAAGGGCGCCTGCGGCTACCGCAGCTGGGCAAAACCAAACTGTCGAGTAGCAAAGAAAATCTGGATGCAAGTAAAGAGAACGGTACTGACCAGGAGCAGAGATTTACTTTGGATCAAGGTGATGCTCTTACTCGAGGGCGGATTTTGGGTGGTAGCCAGAGTGAACTGTACAGTGCTCAGGACAATGAGACGCCTCTGGTGAACGGATACACCTGTGAGCAGAACGCGTGCAGTAATGGCAGTATCAACGGTCAAACTGATAACCACAGCGAGGACGATACTACAGATGACCAAAGAGAAGAAGTATGTGTTAACCCTATTTACAATCTATATGCAATTTCGGTAAGTTGACTTTTTGTGCAAATAAACCATCTTTACCTAGCATCCTTTTGACTAAATGCATTTAATTTGTTGTTTTCATTACAAAAAGTAGAGATCTGTTGAGGAGGAGAGCAACGTAGAGCCATTGTCAGCAAAATAAATTTACCATAAATCTGAGTACAACTGAAAAGTCTCTCTCTGCATAATGTTTTTTTCTGCTCCAGTGTGTAAGCTTAGTCAGCTCCAAATGCATAGATTGTCACGAACCATCGTCACTTGCTTAAAGATCATGAATTTGTGAATCATTTATTCTGTGAATTCTGGGTTTTGGTGTTTGAGTCAAAATTTATCTTGTTCTTTGTTTTCTTCAGTGCCATTCAGGAATTATGGGAGGGGGTCATTATGTCACTTATGCCAAAAACCCGAACAACAAGTGGTACTGCTACAATGACAGTAGCTGTAAGGTAAATCATTTATTTTTGTAGCAAATAGTTTTCCTCTGGTTACCTAGAGCCAAAGAAGTTTGCATTTAGTGGGAACTGTTCTTTGAAATCATGAGCATCTCAAAAGTTGCATCGGATAAATATTAAAATTGTTAACTGAAATTGTACATGAGATCTTTTTCAAGTTACCATCTGTTCCTCAGCTGCTACCACGGTTCAGGAAAGATGCTTATTTTGTACAAAGATGGAAAAATTACTAAAAATGGAAGTCCCAGAATATTTTTTCATGATGCTAGCAGTCTTGTATTCAATTACTGAATAATTAAGTTCTGACATTTCTAAGTGTTTGCATTCACCACTAGAGAATTTGTCATACTTTTCAAGTAAATGATGGAGCCCGATAACTGTAATAAGGAAGATAGAAAATGTGACTCTTCTTGCAAACAGCCAGTTAAAAATACTGTCTGCAGGGCCAACGCTTGTGTCGAAAGTTCCGTGACAGTAACGCGGTTGTCCCGTTGCGTATTTCAGACCGTGTTTTCCTCTTCCTCAGGAATTGCATCCCGATGAAATCGACACCGACTCTGCCTACATTCTTTTCTACGAGCAGCAGGGGGTAGACTATGCACAATTTCTGCCAAAGATAGACGGCAAAAAGATGGCAGACACGAGCAGCATGGATGAAGATTTCGAGTCCGATTATAAGAAGTACTGTGTTTTACAGTGAGCAGATGATCTTCCATGGACTGTTTTGAGAATGTGAGGGATAACATCCTGAAACTTAACATTTGGCGAAAACGTTACTGAAACAGATAACCCAAGTGTAGTTATGGTATCCTGTGATCTGAAAGCACAAAAAGAAAACCCTAATTAAATAGCAGTTAATATAGAGATAGTATTGTTTTGTTCTGTTATCTCACTACATGCTCTAAACATTTCTGATGTGAGACATCAGGCTGAGACTGCCATTGGCCTTTAAATAAAATGGTTTGAGAAAAGCCAACTAGGACCAAATAAGAGCTAAATTAAATAGTCCAAATAAGAGCTAAACAAAGTAGTGTAGAGTTTACCAACTGTTCTAACAGACCCCTGAGTCTCTCTTTAGATTTAAGATAATGGGGGAAAAAAAATTTGTAGTGTTGTCTTTGGACAACATGATATTGCTACCTCCTTTTTCCTGCAGTTTTATTGCATTTTATTGGCAAAACAGGGAAAGCAAGAGAATGAGAAGTGCACAAATTTAAAGAATTGTCATCAAGAGGAAGAGAAGTTTCCAGTTTTGCTGCCACTAACGTGTGTCAGTTGCTTGCTTTCTGTATGTTGGGAGCACAACCAAATCATAATTTGAGAAGAGGTTAATTTCTGCAGTTGAATGGTTTGTTATATTTGTGTTTTCTCCATGTGTTGGCTGTGCGGATCAACATGTTTCAGGAATGGCTTTTCTGCCTGAAGAGTGCAGTCTCAAACCTCAGAGATGCCTCAAGGAGAAACTTCAGGTCGAAGAGATTAGTTGTGATTACACGCATGGTGTCTTAAAATGTGCACATTGCACAAAACGTTCCCTGCGTTTGGAAGGAGAGATGCTTGAGCTTATGTTTCATGACTGGTGTTGCTTTTGAATTTGCACTTTTAAAAATTCATATTAAATTCAAAAACATGGGTTGTTTTTGTTGTTGTAAGGGCTCTGGAGTGAATGGCTGTGAATTATCCACCGTGTATTTCAAACAAATACGAAGCTGTGGCTGTCAGGTAGCTATCGTAGCATTCATGGATGGTGGGTTTCTTTATCGGTTTCATACTTTAATGGAGTTTCTTTTTTTCAAAATTTGGTTGCCTTTTCAAATTTTCTTTTGTGCAGCAGGTTATGCATATACTTGCAATTTAAACCAGAATTGCTTTCCATGCCCTTGCAACATGCTCTTTTAAGTCAACGGGCTTATTGCATGAAGGAAAGCATGACTGAGTCTGAGCAGAGACTGGAAAAAAAGATGGTTATTTTTTGAGTAGGCATTTCTTGAAACATATTCAGTGTTAAATTGTTTGCATATCTGAATGAAGATAAAAGTTTCACTCTTTCAGCCTTCTGTTCTTCAGCTGAGTCTAAGCAGCTTACTAATTTTGTCATATGTCATGTTCTGAATTCTTCCGATTTTGATTCTTGGCTAACAAAATTGATACTTAAGCGGTTGATCTCTGAAATAAACGTTCGGATCCATTTTAATGTGTTTCATAAGAATGCCAAACCTACCAGTAAGTTTATAATTTCCAGAAAGATCTGAGTTTTATCCATTTAAGAAATGATATCAACTGATCTTGCCGTCTTTACTCAGGCAAAAACCTCTCTGCCTCTGGTGGAAGTTTTGCCTCTCTGAGGACAGCAGATCGCTCCAAAATAAGTCTTGTCTTACTCGGAAGTGTTGCTCCTTATCCTCTGTGGTCTTTTATCTTTAAAGTGGTCTAAACATTGAGGCTGAAAAAAAGCAAACACGACTTTCCAATTTCTAGGTTAGAAGCTTTTTCAGTACCCATTTGTCTACTCCTCTCTACGCAAACTCCATGAAAAGTGAAAGATTTTCAACTGATTTACTTTAAATTGTTTTATTTAAGCAGGTAGCACAATCTACTAATGTTATTTGATCTTCTGTGTTTGTTACGTTGGTTGTAATTAATTTTTTAAATTAAATTAATTCATGAATTAGTAGTAAATTTATTAAGTTAACTATTAACTACATTCACTTTGTAAATTATTGTATAAAACTTATTGACAATGCACTGACTTTAGAAAGATGTTAATGTACATAAATACCTTGTAAATAAAATAGTGTCGATGTACTGGAATATGAGCTGTATTAAAAAAAGGTATCGGTAATTGTATATGGAGTGAACCTGTTTATCTGTAACTATATTATTCAAACAAATTAAATACTGTGGATGCAGATGAGGTGTCAGATAATTTTTCATAGCTTTTTTCCTGCTTTGAAGCTTCTGTATTGTTTTCTTTAAGCTTAAATGTGTTTGTCCATTCAAAACATGGAAACGTGTGAGTAAGCATAGAGCAGTTATTTGCACTTTGTCCAGTGTAGCACTTAGGTCTAAGTAGCAAAGTATTTCAGCTCTTCTAAGTTTTGGATTTGTTATTTTAGTTTTCCTTTTGAGAATATACTGTTCAGTTTTTTACAATTAGTCCATTTAATCCTGTTTAAAATGTGTGCCAGTATAGAATCATGGAATGGTTTGGGTTGGAAGGGACCTCAAAGATCACCCAGTTCCAAGCCCCCTGCCATGGGCAGGGACACCCTCCACTACACCAGGTTGCTCAAAGCCTCATCCAGCCTGGCCTTGAACACTTCCAGGGATGGGGCAGCCACAGCTTCTCTGGGCAACCTGTTCCGGTGCCTCACCACCCTCAGAGGGAAAAATTTCTTCCTTAGATCTAATCTTTATACATGAGAGAGAGTGAGAGTGAGACCTTTCTTTCTTAGAAATTATTTCTGAAGAACGAGTGTACTCAACCACATTAACTCAGCAGTTCTCACATTTTTCTGTGGTGTAATTTTGATAGATATGAAGTGAGATCAGTGATGACTGAGAAGCACAGTAGCTGCACCTGGGATTCCTACTTACCAACCTTGAGAATCCTTCTGCAGGTTTTAAAGTGAAGAGAAAAAAAAACCACCCACATCTCTCTTTAATATTTAATTGCTTATTTTTTGTATTCAAGCTCTAATAATTTTACTCCAGGTTCTCATGCTGTGGTAAACAAAGCTCCTTTTGAGTTTTACAGAAAAGTAGGTTAAAAAAAAGCTTTACTTCAGAATGTCCCAGAAATAATGGGATTATAAGAAAATCATGCAACAATTTCCCTCATTGGGGAGGGTTGGCTAGGAAGTTGTGACAAATCTTTCAATGGCACGTGCTGAAGTTTTGCTTTCAGCTGGAGCTGGGGCCGTGCACCGGTGCCCGCGGGCAGGTGGTGGCAGCGCTGCCCGCCCTGTCCGCTCTGCGAGCAGAAGCCTGAGTTTGTGTTCCATAATGCACTCCCGTGGAAAAACTTAATTTTAACCTGTTAAAATGAGAAAATAACCCAAAGTTGATCTGCAGTGGGCATCTTCTGCATATTGTTCATTAGCACAAGGTTTTGCCTCACCAGGGGGAACAATTTCTGGAGTGAAAATTTTAATTTTATCATAGAATCTGAAGTAAATGATACTTAGTGATCCTGCACGTAAACATTTGTTTAATTGTTCTTGTAGAATTGATCAACAGGCGTTTTAGGTCAAGCAGAACATCAGTTTCCATCAGATAGAACCATCTCTCACAACAGATGTACAAAAGACACAGAAGCAAAAGGAAAGATCCAGGTAAAAAAAGAAAATCTAGTTCATCACAACAGGCCAAGAACTGAGGTGTCTGTGCTGCTACGTTGGCCAGCGAAGGAAATTCTTTCCTGCAGCTAAAGGAAGAGTCACGTGCTGCAGCACAGGAGGTCATCGTTTCCTCTGATGTTGTTTTGTAACCTGGTAAGTCTGTAAAATTTCAGAGTAGCTTGGGCTGCAAAAAAGGAGGTCATCTGCTCCATCTAAATGTTGACAGCACGCCTGGGTTTGCGTGTCGGAACGGTTCCGTGGGTGGCCGTGGTCAATGCAGAGGGGGTGTGTTTGGTTACGTTTTCTTTTCTTTACAAGTCATGGCAAACGCACCACTAGATCGCTTTCTTTTCCAAGCAGTTTCTAAAAAAAAAACCAAAACCTCAAAGGAGGGAAAAAAACCTCAAAGCTATTCTGGATCCTCCTTTCTGGTCCTACCTGCAGAAATGAGATGGGAGTTTCGTGTGAACAGTGACTAGGAATGGCTTTGTAGGGAGATGTACTTCATCGTGAATCCAGATATCTGGGAGGTTAATGCTAAAAAAATCCTTGAGATTTTGCACGGGATAAAAACCGAGTTCAGCAAGGTAAATTCTTCTGGAGATCTGGTATGTTACTGCTAGAGGAAGAGCTCCCTGCGTGTGTCAGACCGGAACACCGAGACTTAGAAAGGAAAGGGAGGTAGAGAATGCTCTGTTTGAGCAGATATGGGGCTTTTTACTCAGAGTCGAGTATGAGATTTCTTCTAGGACCTCTTCCATTCATGCTGCAAATGTTTGTTGGTGTTACTTTAATGCATGCCAGTGTGTTTCAGGTGTATCCTGCTGCTGGGTTTTCGTTGATGCAAGACTTAAGGCTGACGAAGTGGAAAGTCGATGGCAAAAATCTTTCGCTTAGGCACTGGAGGGGTAACGCCTCTGGGACAAACACGCAGGAGTAAGAGGTCAATATTGATCTTGCTATTGCTTGGACATGTGCACTTGCAGATGGATTGCAATTTAGAAGTAAAATCAGACTTCAGAAGGTGAATCCAGTTGTTGTTTTGTGGAATTTCTGAAAAGAAAGGAAACTGGAACTCCAATAGCTCTGTTTAGCAGACTGTACCTGAGCTGCTTATTCATCTGAAGCTCTTCCACTGTTCACAGAAGGTAAGGTCCATAATTTCTCAGTCAAATCCCTCGTTCAGCACTGCTGTTCATAGTACTGACACTTATTCTTGGAAAACAATCTGTCAAAAGCAAGTGAAATAATGGTCCCTCATGTAGATGAAGGTTTGGCTCTCAGAAGTGGTGACTTTGAAACAAGGATCTGAAGGTACTTTATGTACAGTCTTGGTGTGCTGATTATGTTCCTGCTGCTTCTTCTACATCTATGAGTGTTTGCTCACGTATTTTCTTCTTGATATTGTGTATAGAGTTGAGACATTTCCTCTGAGCAGACACTGACGATGTGAGACTACAATTACAATCACGCTTTTTTTCCAAAAAGGAAGTAAATCTGGTTGAGTTGGCAACTGGACCAAAGTCCACAGTAAGCTGGTCTGTCAGGAGTCACATATCGCTGGGGGTTGTTTGTTTATTGAACATTTCCAAAAACACTGTGGTAATGTTTATCTGGAAACGAACTATTGTTCTTTTATGGTTCCTAAAGACACTAAAGGGGTATTTAACCAAGGCTTAGCGCACGTCAGTGTCACCAAGGATGATGCCAGAGAAGCTGGTGTCTCTGGAAATGAAGTTATCTCTTGTTGCCTTTATCAGCTGCAACTGGAGCATTTGTGCAGCATTAAATGATGTCACTTGCTCAATGCTGTCTTTACTGCCTAGTGGTAGATGTTCAGAGTGGTCGTTCTTCACAAGCGTGGTAATTCCACCATGTCATTTGAGTCATTTGTGCATTTCCAATGTTGAAAATATGGTTTTCATCAAATAATATGATCTATAGTTGTTCGTATCATGAATTTTGTCTGTTAAGGCTTTTAGGTATTGAAAGTGCAATTTAAGAAAACTAA